ATGTTAGCATATATGGGAGTGAATCCAAAAAATTGAGGTGAGAGCATTCCCACTCCCATAAGTAAATCTTCAATTTTTCTTGATTATGGGGTCTACCCTCTTTTCCCCATCTTATATTTTTCAGATTTATTAATAAAATTTTCACTCACCAAAGGATAGAGAGTGACAGAGACAGAAACAGAATGCGAGTAATACACACGCATGTGCATACACGTGCACAATAAAGCCCCAAAGACTGACAGATTCCACATTTCCACTTTTCGTAGAGGCCTTTTGGTCATACATAATAACTTTTTTAGTTTGATTTGTTCAGTAATAAACTATGACTCGTGAGAAATTATGAACTCGGCAACAAGTAAATTTAACAAGAATTTTATAGGTAACCCTTGGCCGACATGGAGTGGTTCACTAAGCTCAGGTTCTTTTGTGATAATAGCTTAATTGGGAGATGGACTTAACCTCAAACGGGCATTTGACCAAAGCAAATTTTGTCTAGTAGTACAAAGGCTCTCCTTCGAAGATCAAATGGATACACATGCATGTTACTCAATGGACAAAAAAAAGAGAGGTCCTTTTATAGCATGTACTAATCGGTATATGGAGGCTTAGCATTTCAAAGCCACGCTTGTCAAGGATACACTATAGTATATCTATGATACACTATAGTATATCTATATAAATGTTAACTTATAGGAAAGTCTAATAGCAGCCAGAAGGCAGTTAAGAAACCTTAGGACCATATGCCATGAACCCTGGGTTTCAATGAGATCTACAATTGCATCAACATGGGAAAGGCTGGTTTCTTTGTTGCGGTTCCAGGAGGTTCGAGAGCCAATGGTGCATCTCTTCTTAATGTAATGATTACTATTGTCAATCACAAGTTAAAGAAACATCACACGAATAATAAGATTGCTTTGTAAATTCAAATCACTTTTACTTCAACTATGATTCAGACATTTCAAATTTAACATAACAAAGTCATATTCAGTAGCAGGTAGGCAACATAAGAACATTGTTATGGACAACTGAAGTTGCATGAATATATTAATGCAAAGCTCTGACTAGCTACTCCTTGCAAGCCGAAGTCCAAGCAACAACCTCCAATCCAATCTAATGTCACAAGAGTTATTTACCAAGTAAATACCATGTATATTGAAATTGAATTTCCATAATAGAATATTCTTTCTAGCATAACTGAAGAAAAAAATTATAGAAATACAATGGAAATGGTAGCACAACAAAGAAATGTCTTCCCCTTAAAACAAATGAGCATGTTTAAAAAAAATGAAATAAGAAATTAGATAATTAATGATATGGCCAATTATACAAGAAAAAGAAACCCTTGTAAATTCACATAAAAGAATTTAGGTAGATCACAAGATAGGCATGATAAATTGAAAGCATTCAGAGAGGGAGAGAGACAAAAATTGCTATGGTGTGGACCTGTCATGGTACTGTCTTCATCATCATTCCATGATTGAAAAGGGAGTGATATATGGAACTTCTCCTCAAACTCCACTGATACAATGCTTAATGTACTCTTTCTTGCTAGAACAATGAATTTTCCATGCACGCTCCAATCCACTGTACAACAAATAAACCAACCCAACTATTAGGAAATAAGAGATGGAAAAACTGATGATTGCAGATGCTACCCCATGACATGTCAAGGAAAATAACATAAAAATGAGCAAAAAAAAATTTTGAGCATGTGCAGAAAGGAAAACCCAAAGAAATATAAAATCGGCCATGTGCAAAAAGGACAATTATAGTATAAGCAAGTTAAGAATCTAAATTTTCAATCAAATATTTACTTTTTGAAAATCACAACAGCCAAAAGTAACAAACAACAGTTCCAAGCAGTTTTACACAACTAGAAAATCCAAACCAATAGAGTTTCTAGCCTGGACAAAAATATGGAAATCAAAGTTTGGTATCAAAACAGACCAGCATCAACGTCATCTTTCATGTCCTTGATAGGACCATTCACTGCTCCAAGGGACAGCAAACCATTGCTTGAAAGAACAATAAATTCGCTGTCTTTGTTTTTTTTCCATTTGAAGTCCTTCACATGGCTAGATTCACCCAGTGACCATGAAAAGAATGGTTTTTCCTCCTCCAAATCAGCAAATCAAACAAAAGAACAAACAAGTAAGAAGCATGTGCAAGAAAAACCAGAAAAAAAAAAGTAGAAATAAATGACAAAAGAAATATAGCATTCTGGTTATAGGTGAAGAAACATCAATTAGAACAAAAGATGATAGTTCGGGGACTGTTTGACAACACCCGAATATCCTAATATTTCAGGATAATATAGCATCCATTATAATTAGAATTATACAAGTTAAATGCCCTGTTTCAGATGACCAAACTATATCTTCTTATATTCAGATAACCTCCCTATATCTAAATCCCCAAAAATTCAAGTTGTAATTGAATTTTGCGGGATTCAATTCTAGCGTTAAAATTATTTCGTCTCTCATCCACTCATAACCATCTTTTTTCACTCTCCCTCTCCCGTCCAACAGCCCTTTTCCTATCATTCAACTAAAACCCTTTTTCTCTATCTAATCATAGACCCTCTCTCTGTCACTCGACGGAGACCCTCTAAACCCTAATATCTCTCTCACACTGTTGTCTGTGTCAAAGCTCTTCACTGCGATTATCAGTGGCCTCTTCTTCTTCTTGTCAAGCAAACCGCTAATTTGGCGGTTCCTGCTAATTTTGGCGACTTCTTCCACTGTTTGAGTAGTGGGATCTTTGGCAACTATGGTTTTGCTTCTCTCAATTGAGGTTTTATCAAAGGAGAAGTTTCCATGTTACTGTCAAGCCTCCAATGCCATTAGCTGAAGAACGCAAAGAGGTTAGAGGCACGGATTTTCTCTTTTCCATAATCACTGCATTAAGAGGACCTATAACTCCACTGCCAGAGGTTGGCGAAGATAAAGAGTTTACAGGTTCGGGTTTTTTCTTCTATTTAATAATTCCATTACGAAGACCTGTAACTCCATTACTTGAGGATGGTGAAGATAAAGAGCTTACAGGTTTTGGGATTTTGCTTTTCTGAAATAACTCGATTGCCAGTGGAAGGAGAAGATAAAGAGTTTGCAGGTTTCGGTTTTACCTTCTCTGAAATAACTCCATTACCAACAGGCTTGGAAGGTGAGGTTGGGTCACTGGTTTAAGTTGCTGCTTCTCTCTCATGATTCCATTGGTAGAAGGTGAAAGGGGAGTCACTACTTTGGGTTTTTTCTTGTCTTCAACAGTTCGATGAGCCTTTGCTCTGAATTGTCTTAGTCTCACTGCTCTTAACTTTCTTATTCTCACTGAGTCTATTCGCTGAAGTCCATGAAACTTTCAATGATGGGATTTTAATCAACATGGGGTTTAATTTCACATTGAATTTGGGTTTGATGGAGAGAAAAGGCTTGGGTTTAGGGGATAGAGAAGGCTTGGGTTTGGTAGATAGAGATGGCTTGGGTATGGAGAAAATAGAGTTTATTTCACCAGACGATGTAATCTCAATCTTGATGGGTAGCTTCCTTTTCTTCCACTCATTGGAGCTTGAATTGACAATACGGCTTTGGACTTGGACAGGGGACTCTGGTTTTCTGGTGAGAAGAAGAGAGATGGGCTGTTTTCCTTTGGATTCAAAAGGCATGGTTTTGGCCATATTTGCAAAACTCATGGCAATAATTAGTGGAACCTCTGAGAGAATGTGAAAGAAGCGTTTCTCCAGTTTCAAGGGGAGATAATGAAGCTTTGGTAATGGCTTTCCCGGCCGAATGTCTCCTTATGCTTGCTCCACAAGACTTCATACTCTCATAGCTATTGAAACATCACTCTTTTCCATCTGTTAATCTGTTAGTAAAACAGATGGTGGAGCAAACCCATCCTCAAATGTGTGCCAAATATAAAAATCAATAATTATAATTTTGTCAGCCATCAAGTCAAAAAATTTCAAATCTATGAAAAATTTGACATACAATTAGAACGGCCAACGGGCACATAAAAAGACATATCATGATAATATAAAATCCAAATATATAGAAAGCAAGGCAATGCCTTTATTTAGATTTCTAAATATTTGAATATCCAAATCCTGTTTTGTCAAACATAACCTTCAAGTACGTAATGAAAAAGTACCGCATAAACATCCAAAATTGTCGAAGAAGTGTTTGTAGAATAATCCACAAAATTCTCTAAATAATGATGACCTTTACCACTCCAGAGGATGGAATACTGAATTAAACTGATATTTCTCTATCCAATAATGTGAATGTCAATAATCAAATCAAGCATCAAATCAGCCAAGATGCCTCTGTTCAACAGTCCAGAATGAGATTTACTATTCTTCAAACGATTTACTATTCTTCAAACGGCAGAAAAACCATCATGCTACACATGCATATGTTCGTAGATTACCTTGTGGGAAATTTTTGCCCCTAACAATTCTAGTCAAACAAGAAAATAATTAGATAAGTATTCCATAACATATCTGATATGTCCCAAGAAAACCACCTTTCTAGAGCAAATTCTCTTCATTAGTTCAAGCCAAAGAAGCCTAAAGAATAAGTCAAAGAGATTCAAGGCTCCACAATTGCACTCCTGTGTTGAAGTTAAAAAGGTAACTTTTCTGTTGATAATTGGCATGTCAGTCATGAAAAAATGCACGTGTGACCCACATTATAACGAAACTGAAACTGAAACTAAACTTTTATTACGTCCATATAAGACCCTCAGGATCAATTGGACAGAAGTGTACATGGCAGGAGTTTGAAAATTTTCCCCTATAAAGTGACCAAGAGTCCTAGATGGCATAAGGAACAAATCAATCAAATTATGAACATTGATGTTCCACTTTTCCTGGGTTGTTGTTGTAGTGGCACACTGCAGAAAAATATGATGCTCGTCCTAAATAGCATCTTTGGCACAAAGCTGACAAGTGCATTCTTCTTTAGGAATTTGAAGCCATCTTCCTGTTTCAATACGAAAGTAATGAGATCCCATTCTCGCCCTACTGATCTGAATCTATAGACAAAGAGGGATAGGATCACTCAAATAAGTTGTTTTTACTGAAATTTCTCCCATGATACTATTCAAATAAAACGGTTTCTTTCCTTCTACTCCCTCCCAAATCCTTTGGGTTGCTTTTTTCCAAACAATTTTCCGAATTTGCTTAGGGGTCCCAATAGAAGATTTGCTCATCAATGTTCCATTTCTTTAACCAAAGTTTTCCCTAGTATAACCCTTATTTTGAGTAGCATGGAGAACTTCTTTTGAAATTTTATCAATTGCAGAAGTTGTGAGGTGTTGGGCAAAAGTAACAAACTGACAAATTGCCTCAAATTCCAAGGACATCAACTCAGCTTCTAGGAGCATAATATCATATTGGGTTTGTTGTTTTACCTTGAACTCTTCCAACAACAATTGTTTTCGAGCTTCTTCTACTTTCTTCCAATATTTGTCTCCTAATCCAGGGCCCCAAACTGCACAACCATAAAGGACAGTTGGTTGTACAATATTGTGGAAATATTGTCTCCGAACATCCCAACATAAGATGGCTTCCTTTTTGCATTTGCTTCTCAATGCAAATAAGGCTTTCATACCTCCTGTGACTCTTTGTGAAATGCATTTATCCCATTTATAATTATTGGAGCATTCTAAACCCAAACTCTTATATGATGAAACAATCTCAACCTGCTCAGTTCCTATCTGAAACGCCAAGTCAGTATTTATGTACCACAAATCATAATTTCAGTATTTTGGAAATTAATACTCATTCCATAATACTGGCAAAATTCATTCAAAATGTGAAGCATTGCTGCAGACCTTGACATGACTTGGAAATCACAGTCACATCACCTACAAAGAGCAAGAGATGAACAGGAGATTGGCCTAATAGAATAGAATGACTGGGAGGAGTCTTATTCATCTCTCTAATTCATCTATGAAAATACCAAATAGGTTGGGGGGGGGGGGGGGGGGAAGAGGGCAACCTCGCTTATCACCAACAGAGCTATGAAACATCACATTGTTATGAAAAGTATCATCTTTGAGTCAGATACATACCTCTAAGAAAAGCATTTGGATTGCTGACATTTAAGGCATTGGGACCCCGATATTTTGTAGTCTTTGCCATAGATTTTTTTTATTGATAGAGTCGTGTGCTTTAGAGAAGTCCACAAAACATATGAAAGTTTTCTTGATTTGGCTTTTAGCCTGATCAATGAGATATTTCAAGATGATGAGTTGATCTATTGTAGAATGATATTGTCGGAAACCTGCTTGAGAAATCACTTGTAATTTTTTTTCCTTTACCCACATGCCAATCTTTGATTCCAGGATAGTCCCCAAAAGATTTGCAAAGATATTACTGATTACGATCATTCAATGACTGAAAGCACCATAGCTGGAAGGTATCTATCGCACTTTTTTTTTTTTTTTTGGGGTTAATTCAGGGGGGAGACAGGGTCCTTTCCCAATATCACACATATTGCTAAAAAAACTGTAGCCGATAACTTATAGCTGGCATCTTGTAAGAGTAACAGCACAGTGCTACATCACTAAAACAGAAACTAGAGGCTCACCTAACATCCAATTATCTAAGACTTAAGCAAAGAAACCAAATGAATAAACAAGGGGGAAAAAAAAGCATAAATACTATAATAACTTCAGTTAATTTTAAGGAAAAAAAATCCAATAAAGTAATAGTGCATTGCTTCCTTATTACAGAAGATAATAACTTCAGTTAATTTTAAGGAAAAAAAATCCAATAAAGTAATAATGCATTGCTACCTTATTAAAGAAGATAATAACTTCAGTTAATTTTAAGGAAAAAAAATCCAATAAAGTAATAATGCATTGCTACCTTGTTAAGAAGTGAAGTTACAGAATACAGGTAAACTTGACCAGCTACAGACGCAGCAAGAGTCTGAGAATCTGTAGACAGAGCAAATAGGTAAACACCGGCAAGTGGAACAACCATGATGCTCAGCTCTTTAACAGATGAAACACTCCTTTCTTCCTTGAGGTCCTCAGCCAATTTTATGATCTCTTTTGTCTTCACAACACAAAACCCTATACATCATCGAATCCACACAATTAAACAAAGGAACTGATAAAAAGGAAAACAATCAAATAAAAAAAGTGCTTTCCTTATATGGATTGAAATATTGCAAAAGCATAACAATTGTCCTAAATGATTTTCAAAGGCCTCTTACATGTAATTTCACGACATTTGCAGGTGAATATAAAGCAGTAAATATTTTCCATCTCAAAAGAGAGAGAATGAAACTAACCCAACTTGGACATTGCAAAAACAAAAAAAGCAACACAAAAATGCTAACATTTTAATATTCTGAATCACAAATGGAAGATTTTAACAAGAGAATAAAAATGAAGGGTGGGAAACCAGTTATCCCCAGCGAAGAATAAAATAAAGCCCCAATTTGGGACTACGCAAAAGCACAACAAGCAATCCCGATTTGCTTTTATTTCAGTTCCTAATTAGGCGCCCCGATTTTAAATTTTTTAAAGATGTCGAAAATTTTGTAAGCAACTGATAAAGTTAACCAGTGGCTAAGAATTAGTTCTCACCTTGAGAATGAGCAGCAAAAAGTACTCCAAATCGATCTGAAATAGCAAGGACTTGAGCTGGTGGACTTTCAGGATCGAAGCTCCAATCACCTTTAGCAAATGGAACAGAAGCTCCAATTCTCTGAAAAATCACATCACTTGATCCGCGTGATTCCCCTTCCCCTGCTTCCAGCTCAATAAGACCTTCTCTTCCTTCCCAGCCCCCCGCCGCCATTGATACCAGATAATGCAATCCAAAACACAACGAAACCCTAGAATTCGATGCAAATAATTCACAAAGGAAAAGAGTAAGAGAGAAACCCTACAAGAAAGAGAGAGAAACCCTGCAATCGAATTTGAGGAAAACTCCAGTGGGAAGCGAGACAATAGAGAGAGGCCAGATAAAACCCTAGCATTGGAAGATAAAATATAAAATTAAACCGTGGAAGTAGGAGAGAGATCCTAGACTTAGAAGGGAGAGAGAGAAGGAAACAAACCCTAGAATTAAGAGAGAGAGAGAGAGAGTTCATAAAGAGAGAGAGTACATAAGAAGCGAAGAGTGGCGGGAAGGTTTCAGTCATGAAAGGGATGACCAAAGTGCCCCTCTACGTGGTTAAAAGTTTCATCAAGATAGATTTGTGGGCATCTCCATACGAATATGGATAGGTCACATTATTTTCGGCACACAAGTGTTTTTCAAGAAAAATATCAAAGTCATTTGATTGACAAAGTACTTACAATTTGTCAGTTAATAGCACTAACTTAGTACCGAAGTCATTTGATAAAGGAAAAAAATAGGAAAAAAAAAAACCCAAACTATATTTTTTATGGCCAACTTAACTTTTTTTTCTCACTTTTTTCTCCAAAATGTACTTTCAATGTAAAACCCCCCAATCAAATAAAAAATAAAAAAATAGCTAAACTACCTTCCTTTACTTTTACTATACCCATGTCTATCTTCTTTCCCACCAAAATAGAGGGCTCCGGCACTGTGTAAATGCGGTCCGATAGTAGCACTCTGACATATGTAAAATTCATTCTGGCAGTAAGGCTTACTGTGTAAAATTCGGTCCGAGAGTAAGGCTTAGGTAATGTGTTAAGTGCGGTCTGGCAGTAAGGTTCAGGTACTGTGTAAAGTGCGGTCCAACAGTAAGACTTCGGTATTAAGTAAAGTGCAGTCCGACAATAGGGCTCTGGCACTGTGTAAAGTGCTGTCCCGCAATTGAAAAAGACAGTCTGACAGTTGCAAATGCCACTCCGACGCTCCGACAATGTGCAATTGGGGTCCAAAAGTCAAGCCAAATCTGTCCAAAATGATTTTTGTATATGGGAAAGCCATTTTTTGTCTAACTTTTTCCCTTTCGAGGTATTTATATAGAAAGTTTGTCTTGGGGAAAAAAGTGAAAGAAAAAATTAGGTCGGGGTAAGTTGAATAGAAAGTGTGGTCTTTAGGTTTTTTTGTAATTTTTTCAAAACATATAGGGAATTGTTTACAAAAAGACCACTTATCTTTTGTATATAGACTTAACAATTGTTCTTACTCATTAGATGTTAAATTGGATAACTTGGGGTGAGTCATAAAGTCTGAAAATTTTTCTTTTGGAACTTTATGTCTATTCATTAGCACTCATACACCTGCCCATTCTTTAAATTTAAGGAACAAGAATGACATCCACCCTGCCCTAGACCTAACTTTTTAGGCATGTCCCAGCACATATTTAATCACATCGTTAACTTGAACACTTTTTATTTTGGGATTGTATACAATGCGACCATTTACCATTCATACATGAAGGTCACGATTACTTACAACTATCTACTGTGAAATCTGATAGCTTGGATGTGTCATAAAGTTCGAAAAAATTTCTTTTGAACTTTGAACAAGGTCAATAAAAATAATTGCAGTCACTCAATATTACATCCAATGATCAAGATAAATTGTGACCACCTTGTACCGAAGGTAAATGGTCTCATTTATACTTCTTTTTTATTTTTGCATCTATCCCCCTCAAGGAAAGTAATAATTTTTTTTTTACATGAAAAATTTGCTTTAAACCTAGGTTTTTAGCACCTATCCCAGCTTGTGAATTTAAAATGAAGCTTGTCGAAACTTATTGTCCTATTGAAACCGGTCTAATACATATTTTGTCAAGCCAGCTTCATTTTAAACAATGAAGCCAGTCCGGCATATAGTGCATTGGAATGGATTTTTGCCTCTATTAAAGTCAATCCTACACCTAGTGTCCCAGACTGGCTTAATTTTTTTTTCCAGTAGATCGAGAGGAGGTGTACCAACAATCTAGGAGGAGAGGGGACATTTTCATCCTAAATTTTTTTTTTTTCCCTTTGAGGTGTGTGCTAAAATAAATAATTTTGAGGTTAGTAATGTGGTATAAAAAGTGTTGAGGGTAGTCTATGCCTTAAAAGTTGGCTCAAGGGGTTTCTATGATTTTCCATTTGATAAATGCCCAGGGAAGTGTTGGTAAACATGTCAACCTTAAACAATCTGAAAAATAGCATCTTGCGGACTTTTTGTCGAAATATGTAATTTTGGTGTTGACATACGTTAGGGTAGCATGGAAATCTATTTTCATGTGTAACTATGAAATATTAAAACTCTAGAAATGGTATTCATCGAGCAAATCTACTCAACCTTGGAAATTTTGAACATGGATGGTCCAAATACAATGTTATGAGATATGTTATTTTTAGGCCTTAAAACCCCTTTTCTTTTCTATATCCTTTCATCTCGACCGCTGAATACGAACCAATGCAAAATCGGCTTGAAACCCCCTTTATCTTCTATATTCGTATATCTCAAGGTTGAGATTAACAATTAGATGGCTTTTTAATATCAGAACAACTTTTTTTTGTGAGTTTTTATGCGCACCTTACTTCTAAAATATAACATCTTCAATAATAAAAAAATTACAAATCCATATAAGGTGTATATGTGACAAGACACATAAGAAGCTCACCCATACAGTGTTTTGAAATAAGCACTCACAAAGAGCAAATAACAATGGATCATATTGTCTACAGTCAGTTTACAATCAAATAATTGTATTTAAAGTTTTAACGAGGTCTTACACAATTAGGGTCACCCTTGAAAAATTTTGTTTTAAGTATGGATTTAGGATTCAAAACATATTATAACTTGCTCATTAAATACATTCCATTTTAGATCTATGAATTTGAGGCTCATAAAGTAAACGAAAACGTTAATATATGAGCGTGGCCCTAAACAATCAAATTGAGGTGTGCCTCAAAAATGTACTAGAAGAGATTGCTTTGATGCTGAAAAACCCTAAGTTCAATCATCTCGACCTCAAGATATGTGGAAATGATAAAAAATAGATTTTAAGTATTGAAAAATATGCATCTTGTAATGTATTATTCAGACCGTCAAGTTTTAAGATTTTAAAGTATTCATAGATAGGCTCGATCCACACTTTTTTAATCTTTAAATTTTATATTTGAGATAAAAATAAATTTCCAAGACATCACAAAAGGTTTTTTGTAATGAAACAACATATTTTGATATCATTTGAATGTGCACCTTATTTTTATTGTTTAGTACTTTAGCCTTATACAAACCGTACCCTAAAGTAAATGCTCCAATGACATACAAATAATTAAAATATATAAAGCAATGTTTAAAATAATATATTTTAAAGGAAATTATCGTTAATGTCTCTTTACAACCTCATAGATAAGTAAAGCTTTACGAAGCTATTAGGTCCCTAAAGCTTACTTGGACTTCTACAAATCTATTGTGTCCATGAAGGTCCTGTTAGAAATTGGTTGGATGACAAAAGGGCAAAAAAAATATAAAGAATTAAGCAAAAAATAAGTGAAAATCCTTCCTATTGTTTATACGCATATCACTTTTTTTATATAATATTAACCTCCTTCAATATTCAAAAAAATGTGCATATGAAATGACAATTTGTCTTTGGAATATAAGAAAACAAAAGGTTTATTTTGATGCTTCAAAGCACTTTGCACTTGAGCTGGAAGCCCATTGTAAAACTATAATGTTGTATATTTAGATAGAGGAAGAGATAAATAATGAGTATAGCGAGAAGGACAAGTGCTCTAATTAAAAAGGCGTCTAGAGAATGGGAAGAACAATTCCTTTTATAGAGTAACAAGTGGTTGTGAATTTACTGTTTAAGTGAACAGTTCATATTGTAATACTACACAATAAGACTGTTTGATCACAAACAGCTACCATCAATAAGTATTAGATGTTGGATATGAACAGTTATATACATAAGGTGCTCCAAGTCTTAAACAATTAGTGTCTGTTAGGATTTCTTGCACGTGCCGCCCTCACAAAAAATATCGAGCCTCGAGCCAATGACACATGTGTGAAGTG